ATGTTCTTCCATGCTGACAGAAGGGAAGAATACCCACTAGATATGAGCTTTTTGAGAGCAATAGCAGTAGGAGCCGAAAGGGCTTTGCTTACCGTTCCTGTGCAAATGCTCCTAATAGCCTTATTTAGATATTCCTGGAAGGTATCTTATAAGACATTAGAAGGGGACAATGTTCCGAGGCAGAAGAAACCACTCAGCACTGTCTCCCTGCTCTCTCGCAAGAGACTACACTTTTTTTTTTGCCGGAGCTGCRTCTTTTTCTCCTGGGCACTAATCACAGCTGTAACTGGCCTGTCATCATTTTTCCTTGTATTGTATGGGTTGTGYTATGGCTATGAGACCTCCATGCAGTGGCTTTTTGCATCTGCCATCTCGTTTGTGAAGAATGTCTTCCTCTTCCAACCCCTAAAACTCATTTTATTCTCAGCTCTGAGGACACTCCTTCCCAAATGCTGTGAGAGCGTTTTTTCTGATAAACTACCTTTTCTCGTTAAAAGGCTCAGAACACCCAAAAGTGGGCACCCAGATCTGCCTCGGAGCACATTCTGGGGCAGCCTCAGAGGAGACATCACCAATACTGGGGGCTCCAGAACAGACAAAGAAATGCAAAAACAATAGTTGATCTTGTCCTACGAGCAAGGCAGGATACTAAATTTAGCACTCCTTTGACTCTTTTCTCTCTATTATTCAAATAAATGCTCATGAATATTGAACTTCATTGGTCGTTCTTGCCTAAATTGGACACTAATTTTTAAGGAATTCTTTGCACTCAGCCACTTGCTTTTAAGTGTGTTCCGTTTTTCTCCAGAGTTTTGGCTTTGTATGCACCTCAGTGGTACTTYACCACRTCATGGGAGCTGATAGCCCTTTTACATAGACACTGACTAGAGAATAAGACCGTGCGGAGTCCTCTCGCCTCCGGCAAAGAGGGTATGGGCAGATCAGGGCTAGTCTGTACCTCTAAGGGAGGGCTAAAACAGGTCAGCGCTCTGAAAATGGTGAGAAAATCTTTACTCCTCAAAGCATAAGGCATAAAAGCTGAGAGGATGATCTATTGTGGTTTGGCCTGGCACAGTGAAAATATGACTTCCTAACACTGCGTTTGCAATTCTATGTGGCTGAGACTGTTACCGTTTTTACTTTTGCAAGTCATTGATGTTAGACTCATATTTGAGAATATTTTGTAAATAGTATAAAAGAGGCTTTCTGTAGGATGTTGCTTGCCGAAGAAAGCTTTAAGGGCAGGTTAATTGAGGGATTTTTTTGACTCTGATAGGCATAAAAGGCCGTTATTTGAGTTGACCCCATTACGATTTTACATTTGAATCTGGTATCACTGTGACATCCTTTCTGACCTGGCCCCTCATGAAAGCAATTGCAAGTCAGGAAAGCCCACTGGCTTAACTCCTGACATGCGGAGCAGCCACCTCTGCAGTGCAACTGCTCCTCTACCCCAGCAGTATTGTTGTCCTAGCCTTCTTTTTTGCCCCAAAGGTTTATTCCAAAAGAAATGTGCACAGCCTCCTCCTCCGAGCAAGCCCGTGCTCCCATAGGGGAAATACAGAGACTCGTGGAAAAAGAAAAAGGCCTAAAAGGCCACTGCACGGCAACACAGCATTAGCAGTCCCTAGTGACGGAGTGAACTGTGCAACGAGGATCAACCAGGAGAGGAGAAAGAAGAACAAGACCTGATTTCTTGTACTGCTGCTGTTTTCATGGGAAAGATAAAGTGCCAAACCACAGGTAAGCAGGACCCCAGTACAATGTCTTTTAAAGATATTTTTTCTTTTTAGAAAAGGAAAAAAAAAAAAAACAGAGACACACACTGTCACAAGTCTTTCTGCAAGGCTCACTGTCTATCCTGGGGTTAAATGGCATTACCGATGCTTTTCCTTCTGTCTCTTTCTAGAGAGGGAGTGACAGTATGCAAACAGCAGCTCACAAAGGGAGCGTAGTCCTCAGTGTCTTGGTGGCGTAGGGAGGCTCTTTTGTTGCTTTGGCTAAGGGGGGAAGCATTTCTGGAGATAGGTGATAGGAAGTGATCAAAGGGGATGCTGCCAGTTCGAAAGCTCAGAGCTGCACCAGAATTGTTACTAGTAACCCCATGTCTGTTTTTTATTTTGGCAAAGAGGCAACCTGTCCTGTGYACTACCTGAGTTGGGATAGGAAGCATCTTTTTCCCTTCCCTTGCTCTTGCAAAGAAAAAGCACAAGAGCAAGGGGGACACTGTTTAAGTGAAGGGATCACAGGGCTAGATGGTGACAAGAATTGTGAGATAGGCACATTTTGAAAGTGTGACAAGAAATGACTTG